CATCCTTAACAAACAGGACTATATCAAGATCAGAACTCTCATTCTTGCATAACTTCAAACCACAACCTAGCTGTTTTCCTAAGTTGACTCTTGAAATTCTGTAGACTAAAATCCTCTAACAAATAAGCCTACTTTCCCCCCTGGAATGGCCATAACTTAACTCTGAACATGGAAGTATTTCTTAGAAATGTGTGCTGCTGCTTCGCTCCAGTTCTCTCTGGGATATGGAAGCATCACACTAGGGTGATGTGTAATATATGTGTACAGTCCAATTTGACTTTCTAAAACAGAAAAGCACAAATTCTCTCTGGAACAATTTCTTTGACTAGTTCATTGAAGAAAAGAAACTTGTCATCATGCCAAAGACAAAACTGCTGCCGGGTTTAGTTTTGAATTTTATAAAGTGAGTAAGTGAAATATATATGTTCATTTCAGACTCGAGTTATGAATAATTAAATGAATATATAATTGTATCCAGTTTTACCCTCAAGCTTAACCAGCAAAGACATCTTCAGTCCATGTAAAAAGGATCTCGGGTTTTTACAAAAAATTATGAGTGAGCTGCCAAACATCACTGAATTTACATGCTTGTAAGCAAGAATAACAATCTGTCTATAAAACCTCACAGTGGAGAGTGAAACAGCACTTGAGAGTTTTATTTAATGTATCTTATGCCTTCTGGTATTTAAAATTACATAGGCATTTTCTCAGCATTGTCTAAATGGTCTTATTCTTCATTAAAATCTCTCACCTTTTCTATGGTCAAGATTGGATCCAAGTTTGGGGGTGCAGGCCTAGTGAACAACATTAAGTAATACATGCAAATGTATCTAGAAACCACACATTCATGTTCGAACTAATCCTCCTGATGCGCTTTATTAACTGAACAGTAAGAGAGTTCTCCTACTAGAAATAAAGGAATTACATTCAATTCCAAGATCTCAGTGGGGAACTAGGGCCATCGGTACAGTTGAGCAGTTTGTGTCCTGAACACAGTGCCCAGCTGAGGGATCACTCCATTTACCAAGGCCCATGTTCTGGGGCAAAGAAGGGCTTTTGAAAATTCCCACAAAGGTACCTAAGTGAGAATTAGAAAAAGCAGCATTCAGCTCACCAACCTTGCCCAAGGAACTTCAATCTAGGCAGAAGGGATGCCCTTGGTTACTTTACAGAAAATTATCACATGGGTTAGTAACTTTCTCATTCTAACAGATACCTTGATTTTGCCATCTGTAAGGCAGGACTTATGATAAGCATCAAGGAAAGCTATGGGTGGATTGCTCTTTTAATTATGAACACAGTCTGAAGGAGCACAACATGCCCTGTTAATACAGAGTAATAGAACGCCCAAATTTCCCATCTGCCAGGAGATGCCTAGAGACTGACTGACTACGGAGAAAGGACTGGCAATGAGAACAAAGAAGCAGAAAAAAGAATCTGTGTGCTGCATAGAAGTAGACTGTCTCACACTTTCATGGAAGAGTGGAACAGATGAGGAAGGAAAATGGGATATAAAATGTATACAACGATCGTGGTTTTCCACATGGAAAAGTTACTAACACATAACAACAACAATAATAATAACAATAATAAACAAAAAAGGGAAGAAGGGAGGAGTAAAATGAGTTATTAGTAATTCCCAGGTCTCTTCTTATAGAAATGATGTGTCTAATAGCAGACAGAGATTTCCAGACAAATGTCATTCCACCACTCATGCTGAGACCTTGCTCTCACTCTGACTTTTAAGAAGATGGCAGAGAGCCAGGCTATACTAATTCCAGGTCCTTAGGAAGCTCATGAGTTTGAGGCAGCCCAGGCCAAGTTAGCCAAACCCTATTCTAAAAACAAAAAGGTGAATATGGTTGATGTACATTCTACACAAGAATGAATATAGAATATTTAAACCTATTAAAATTACTGTAAGAAGGGAACTACAGTAGAAAGGAGAAAAATAAAGGGATGAACCAATTGGAATATAATACATATATACATGCAAATGTCATAATGAAACTCCTTGTTTCATTTCTGTTCATTTAAGAACAGAAATGTCTTTTTTTTCAAAAACAAATACAGGAAGGTAAAGCAGGTCCTGTATGGAGGTTGGCACCAGTAGCAGGGGGAAGATATAAGGAAAAGGTGAAGGAGGGTAAATATGGTGGAAATATTATATACTCATGTATAAAACTGGAAAAATGAGACCTGCTGAAACTATTCTAAGAAGGTGGGGAGGGGGGATAATGGAGAATGATGGAGGGGGGTGAATTTAAGATGTATTGTAAGCACTTTTATAAATGTCACAATGTATCCCCTATACAATATCATAATAAAAATAAAAATTTTTGAAAGGGTGTAAGGAGGGGGTTACTGGCTCAAGTGGTAGAGCATTTGGCTAGCACTTATGAGGCCCTGGGTTCAATCCCCAGTACTGAAAACAAGAATCTTCAGAACAACAACTGGCAGAGGGCCTGTTCTGGCCAAAGTCTGACATCAGTCTTTGCTAGCATAGTACAGATCATACGTTAACTCTCCAGCCCTTGTGTCAACATTGGCAGCCTTTCTTTAGTCCCTGAAAATGTAGTATCCTTGCCACAAACTCCACACCTCTTCAAGTCTTTGTTGGCTGAGTGTTTTGAGGTGTGAAGCATGACACAGTATCAAAGTAATTTTAACACACATACTGAAGCAGATATTCAAATGAGTGCTGCTCCCCTCAAAGTTGTTCAATTAGGAGGACCTTTCCTAATGACACTGTCATTGCACAGGACATGGACCAATCCCTTCTTCTGGAATGCAACAATAAAGAAGTAATTGATTGCTTTTCCATGTGCTTGTTATATCAGCTCAGAATAGATTTTCACCATAAAAAATTTAAAAATAATTTGGCATTCGACCACTTCTCATTTTTGTTATGGGCTGTTCACAATCACCCACTTTCCCACTGCTTGAGCTCCAGTATGCTGAACAATGCAGTTAGCAGAGGCCTCTGAATCTGCATATGCCATTCCCTCTCTTTGGAAGATCCTCCTCTTGTCACTAAGCTCAAGATCATCTCCTTTAGAAAGCTTTCCTTTACTGCCCCACCTACCTGTTTGGCTCTCTCCTATTTAGCTGTACCTTAGAAGTGCCAAGGTCACCTCAATCCACTAAATGCTTATTGTCTTCATTTGCTCTTCTCAATACTAATACTAATTCATAGCTTCTCTGAAGGCAGACTTTGTGTATTATTTTTCTGTGTCCTCAGAAACCAACAGCACTGACTTATAATATTATTCATGAAAGAATGATCAAACAACTGGATACTTGAAAGAAGTAGGGTACCTAAGCAACTATTCTGCAAGCATTCACTTGACTGAATACTAGCTAAGTTCAAGAATTCTTGGATGATTCAATAAATGGTGTTCAGCAAACCAGACCATTTAATAAATCCAGATTCCCTATTTCATATTATAAGCACATACACAAAACTCCAATTGGATCTAGTATACGTAAAAATAGAAACTGTAAGACCACCAGAAGAAAAAAGTAATGACTATTTATATCACTTTAAAGAATGCCTATATAAACCTAAAACCAAAGCCAACAACCACAAGGGAAAAGGTTGACTTTATTGAATTTATATAGTTACATGCATGCACAAATCTGAAAGGATATATATAAATGTATTCATAGCAATTATCTTTTGGACTGATCTGTAATTTCTAGTGTTTAGCCAAGTGTGCACAATTCATGAGATGGAAATAAAAGCACATACAGTAGAATGGCTTACTCAAACCTAAACAATGATCAAGCTTATTAAATGATAGCATTACACACAAAAACCACATGACTACATAATTTCAAATGATTTTCTGCCACCCTGTGGGGAACTCTACACATTGCAGAACTGAAATAAGTAAAATTTGGAACTATGAAAAATCTGTAACTGAAAATTCCTTTCCTAACCCAAGTTGTTTAGCTAAAGCGCTGTCCACTAGTTTTGTTTTCTTTGCCAGCTATTTAAGAAAACTGCTAGGAAGAAAATAATAATAATGTCTATACTTACATGTGATTACAATATGCCAAGCACTATTCTAATACATATATATACTTTGATATAAGTACTTCATCTTACAAAAACCCTGAGGTAGGCATTATCCCCACCCCACTCCCATTTTATAGATGAGGCACAGAAAGTTTGACCATCGTTAACAGTGAGCAAATTCAGGTAGCTTCTCCAAAGTGTTGCATTTTGGGCTAAAGATTTTAAGAAACCGACTTTCCCATTTCCTAATAGAATTACCCAAACAGTTGACTGCTGAGCCTTTGTAAGGGTTGAGTATATGAAACTTCTAAGAGGAATTAAGATTTCTCCAACCTAGTATTTCCTTGAAGCTGTAGAGCAGAGTTACTTCTCAAAGTATGGTCCCCACATGGGGACCCTTCAGAGTACTGTTTGTTACTGATCCACAGCGAGAAAAGTTCAGACATTGAGGTCCTTCGCATTTTTAAAGATAATTTTATGTCTGTTGACTCTTGATGATAAAGTGTTGACTTGACTTCATATATCTTTTTTTCATTTTTGTTATTTTATTTCACCAAGGTATGATCCACAACTAACTAGAAATTCAAAACGAATAAATAAAATACTTCCCGCAGACGGAGAGACACTGCTGGGGAACTGAAGCTCCTCACCCAGGAGAGTTTTAACCAAACTCTTACGGATTCTTCTAAAGTCTAGCTTCCCCCAAATAAGCCATCGGACATTTTCCCTCCCGTCGTCATTTCATCCACTTTTTAATACACAGTTATTGAAAGGAGCAAATAAAAATGCAAAGAGAAGCTACAAATTGCTCCTTGAAGTAGCCAGCAGACAGACGACTCCGCGAGGCAGAATGCCTGAGGAAGTGCATAAGCCTCAGAGACGCCTCTAATAAGGCGTCGTCGCCAGGGCCCCAACCAGCTGGAAGGAAGCACGCATGCGCACGCGCGGAGAAGGCGGGGACGTTGTGGGCTGGAAGCAGACGTAACGCCTACGCTTCCGCCCGCTGCGGCGCCTGGAGCAGGTCGGGGGTGGTCACTTCCGCCGGAGTAGCTCACTGCGTCCGGGTCAGCCACTGCCGCTGTTCTTTGCAGTTGCAGCCAGGGGAACTGGGCTGGGGTCTCCACCGTTGACCGAGGGGAGCGGGCTCCGCTCGGCGCCACCTTCTGCGACCTGGCCGTCAGCCCCACATCGCCGGCCTGGAGGGGCGAAGAGGACGAGGGGGCCAAGGCTTCCTCCGGGGTGAGTGCGGCCTGGGAAGGCTCGGCACGGCGGGTGTGCGCTGGGAAGAGGCCGGGGGGCGCGCGCCTACGCCAGCTAGGGAGAGGAAGCAGGGAGAGGTCGTCTGTTGATCTGCGTCCCGCTTAGGTCTGCCCTGGACCTGACTGTAGCTTTTGCCAACCTTGTCCTCCCCCCCAACCCCACCCCACCCCACCCCACCCGCTGCCCCGGTTCCTTTTCCGTTCTTGGTGGTTGTGCCTGGCATGGGACCTTCCCGCTTCTCCGGTTCCCCCACCCTAGCCTGGGTGCGGTAACGAGCCACATTGGTTCCGTATTTATGTCCAGCGTTCGTCCTGGTGCAGAACAAAGAAACTTGGGCTTCTGGTGTACCCTGGAGCCTCGGGAGATAGACACGGAAACAGCATAAGTAATCAGGGCTTTAATGGACCTTCCTGTGCCAGCTAAAGCAAATATAGGGTGTGTACATGAAAAGCTGGCTCCCTGCATGTTTTCAACACTTTTCTCTTTAAGTCCTGGCAAAAATGATAGGCATTTCCCGGATGCATCTAGTGTCACTGGAGAACTACTAGGTTAAACTCCTGCTAACTCAGAAATTTATTTGGGTTTTGATGACGTTGTTTTGAAACTTTTGTAGTGGCATTGGTGTGTGCACCGAGATAGTCGTAGTGCCTGCCATTTAGGTAGTTGAATGAAGTGTGCGATTGCATTTTATCGTTACTTTTTAAGTCCTCGCCTTTGTTTTAATTAGAATTTTTCCCTGATGCTTAATTTATTATCTTCAATTAAGCGCACTTGCTTTGTGAGAATTTCTGGGAGTGTAGAAAGAATTCTGTAATTTGTGAGTGGACATATTTCCTCAAAGTTATAACTGATGTTAACCAATTAAGTTATCCTAACTTGAAGTTAGCAAGTTGGGTTTGTTTTGTTTTTGGTTCTCTTGCACAATTTTCCCTTAGTCCTTGTTATTTCACATTTCCTGTAATCTCCTGTGCAGCCTAATTATTGTTGGGCTTAGACAGGAAGTGTGAAAGACCACTTCTTCATACCAGACCTGTGATGGTCTTTAGGAATTGAAGGACCTTTGAAGCTAAATGTAACTAAATCTGGCATTACAGAATTAGTTCTGTAAAACGTTGCCAGTGAGTGGAGACAGTCTAGATCTAGTCTAGATCTGAGAGCCAAGATGTTATTTGCCTCGTATACAAGATAAAGTGGGAATAATAATATCAATGTTCTATAGCTCACAGACTTGGTTGAAACATGAGGTGTTGGGTGTAAAAGTAAATAGTAAATGTGAAAAGCACTGAGACAGCGGTTCTGTTCAGTAATGCTTGATAGAAGTGGTGAGGGAAGAGGGCATCTGAGAAAGAAAATGATAAATTAGCCTTTGCTAACACATTGGAACTTACCTTGTTCAGCTTACATTATATACGTCTGAACAGTAATATTACAAATAGTCATAATTTTATAACCAATATTTATAACTCTATAATAACAGTGTTAGAGATCAAGTATTAGGCTTTAGTTTTCTTAAAGGTATCAGAGCGTCTCCAAGATGTTCTGCATCCAGATGGTTTAATGAATGTACCTCTTATGGATGGTATAGTCATCCTGTGCTTTATTTTCACAATTTTGAGAGAAGTTGACACGATTCTAGTTTTTCTTTAAGTTTTGTTTTAATATTTCTGATAGAGCCATCTCATTTTATTCTTAAAACATAACACACAATAATTCCCTTAAGGGAGCAAAAGCAACCATGTAGGATTTTTCTGGGGATGTTTTAATGATCTTCATAAACATAGAGACTGTTCATAAAAGGGTGAATGTAAAGATTTTAGATGAAACTTTTAGTTACATGAGTAAGTGCTTTCATACTGCCAACTGTAATTGATTGAACTATGTTAAATGTCATAATAGAAAAATTGTAAGTTACAGTCTAGACAGTTCCATAATGTTTAATTTTTGTTTATTTTGCTAAGCTGTTTCTGAAATTCCCCTTCATCATGGTTGGATTTACCACCACACCTCCCCTCTAAAGCTGTGTCCATTATCTCCTTTATTTTTAACCTTTATTTTTAACTCAATGAGGTCAAAAACTTCATTTCTTCATGACCATGGATAACTAGCATAAGTAAGGGTGTGCTACCAGGCTATCTGGAAATCAGATTATTTCTGCTATATTAGATTATTTTTAACAAGTAGCATGTTAAAGTGTTCTCCATTTTAAGTGTTTTTTTTTTTTTAATTCTATGGACAAAAAATGGGAAACATACTCAGTTAACTTGTGAGTCAGCAATATCCTGATTTCCTTCAAAGTAATTGTGCCTATATTAACTCCTTTCTTGTTTGTTTCCTGTTCTTTCAGCTGCTTGGTGATAAAGTGCTTCCAAGAACAGAATTCTCTGAGTTGTTGAAAATTATTTTTATCTACCTAGTGTACTTTTCCTCAAATTTCTTGATGAAATGGCAGAGTTCATCTGTTCATTATCTCTCCTTTGTTTTAGTAGCTTAATTAATCATCTTCCAAATTCAGTATCCATGGCAATATACCGAGGTATATTGACATCACATGATTCAATATATTAGAGTAAAAGTTTCATTGGCTGAGAGCTGAAGATGTTGGACTTCCTGGGTTTAAAGGTGCTATCAAATGACAAACTTGTTCCAGTGGTAAAACAGCCAACAAACATGGTTTTATCTTACAGTTTCAAAAGAGAAATATTCCCTCTTAAAAAAAAAGAATTTTACCAAAAGGAATTATATAGCATGTATGTGAACCTCCCACAAAATATTTCCATTACAGTTTTTAGGGGTAAAGCATAATAGGAATTCTATTAATTTATAAAGCAAAATAAACCCAAGAGGCTTCACAAAAGACTTGCTCTATAGTACCCTATCTTCCAGTTAAATATGTATCCATTTATTGTTATAGGCCTGTAATGTGCCAAACACTGTGCTAGGTGTTGGGGACGTATTGGTTGTGACCAGTGTTTTGAGAACGACATCTAGAACATTGTGATTTTTTTTTTCCTGTATCCAATAGAAAGGTGAGACAAAATAATGGGAAGGTTTTCTGATTTTTTAATATAGAGAGATAATTTTGTTCACTTACAGTAAGAACCAAAGACTTGTGAAGACTTAATATTAACTCTAGTGAGTTTTTTTTTTAATTTTTTCCTCTATAGAGAAATGTTGCTATCCAAAAAGCAATCTATGAAGTGATCGTTGAAGATGGATGTTAATTAAATGCTATATATTAGAAATAGAGAAACTACTAAGTAAGATTATTTTAAATGGGTTTTTTTTTCATTAATTTCTCAGAATCGCCTGGCTCAGTGTTTTCTCAGAGAATTAAAAATGCCTTACTCCTATATATAACTAAACTACTTTTTCTAAGTAAATATTTTGGTTAAGAAAAGTCAGCATCTAATTTTTTTGTGTGTGCTAATGAGTAGATCTTTAAAAATGTAGACCTTTTAGAAGTGTTTGAAGCCATCCCAAATGTAAGTAAATACTCAAACTGGAGGAGCTGCTTCCAGTCTTGACAAATATTTGAATTTAGCACTTCAGGATATTTCCATTGTAATTTTATTGTTCTGGAACATAATTTTTTTGTACAACTTTGTGTATCTTTTGAGGACTGTTAATGACAAGACAGATAAGAATAATAAAACATAACTATATCTTTGTTTCAGAAACCCAGTTGATGTGATGTGAATAGTTAGTATAATTTTATAAGTATTTTTTAAATTACACATGTATAGTTTTAAAAATTCAAATAGTGTAGAAGGATGTATTGTGAAAACTGTAGATTTGCTATTACATGAGTCATTCTTCCCATACCACCCTCTTTTTCTCTTCGACTGGTGTCACCCACTTATAATGTTGTTTTAGTACTTCCAGTGATACTACATGCTCTTGAGGGGTATGTGAAGCTGGGTGTGGTGGTACACACCTGTAATCCCAGCCCTCAGGAGGCAGAGGCAAGAATATCACAAGTTTAAACCAGCCTGGGCTGTACATCAAACCTGTCCCAGAAAAAGGAAGGAAAAAATGTATTGCTGCTTCTTTTTAATAACTTCATCTACTGACTCACTGTAATGTAAATGAATTGTATATGTAATGTAAATAAATTACTCATTTATACCTCTTGTCCATTATACTTGTCAATATTTTTGTGACACTGTTCACCAATTGAACTTCATCATTTGTTTCTCTGTCTCTTGTTTATTTTTGCAGTACTGGGGCTTGAACTTTGGGGCCTTCACCTGGAGCCACTCAGGTAGCCCTTTTTGTGATGGGTTTTTTTGAGATAGAGTCTCGTGAACTATTTGCCCAGGCTGGCTTTGAACTGTGATCCTCCTGATCTATGCCTCCTGGCACCAGCCCTTTTTTTTTTTTTTTTTTTTTTTTTTTTTTGCCAGTACTTAGCGCCTTGTACCATTTGTACCACTTCCTTGACCCTCTTCAAATAGGGTCCTGCTCTGCCTCTGAAGTGCTGGGACTATAGGAATGCATTGCCACACTTGGCTGTTTACTTTTATTTCTTGCCACTACCTAAATTTTTATATGTAATTTTTGATATGAAATAACATTTTAAATCACAACCAGACACAGTGTGTATACATGCAACTGAAAACATTTTTTCACCCAATAATATCCTTACTACAAGAAAAAAAGTTTCAACCCAACAGTTGGTTTTATGAGCAGACCACTGAACTAAAAGCTCTATGGTTGATAGAGTAGAAGGATGAACTACCTTTTTGACAGATAAAAAGTAAACTGAAAATCAAGTTATTGTCAAGTTCTTTTCCTCTTCACAGGACATTGGCTCCCTGGATTATCAGGAGTTGGAAGTTGACATCGAATCCAGGTTGAGGATGGAAGGTGTGGAGCTGAAAGAGGAATGGCAAGATGAAGATTTTCCCATGTGAGTAATGTTTTTCAGTGAAAACAGATTTAGAACAAGACTTCAGAATTTCCTTTTTAAGATACCACTTAATGGGCTGGGATGTAGCTCGGTGGTACAGCGCTTGCCTAGCATGCGTGAGGCCCTGGGTTCTATCCCAGCACCAAAAAAGAAAACACAAAAAAAAAAGATACCACTTAATGAACAGTAGGCTTCTTTTAAAAAAAAAACCAGTATTACAAGGTATCATTTAATAATAGAACATTCCTTTCCAATGATTAGAATAGCTCTTATGTATCTCGTTTTCTATCCAAATATATTTATAATCTATAATTTTTTATATTTGTTTTGATTATTTAAGTTTCATTAGTTTTGTCATAAAACAGTGCTTTAATGAGTAACTCCTAGAAGGGAGCCTTTAGTTGTCTATATAAAAAATTTTAATTTTTGTGGGATTTTTTTCCAAGAACATAAACAAAGTTCTTTTTTATCATCTGATCAGACACCTGGATACATTTGCAAAGGCACACCATATATTTAATGATGCTTCCATTCCATCATGGTCACAAGACATCCCAGCACCCAACAAGCACCTTAGCAATTAGAGTGTGTTTTCACACACTCCAGTGGCTTGAGTCATTGTAATACAAGAGGATCAGGTTTTTTGGTGGTACTAGAGCTTGAACTCAGGCCCTCATGTTTGCTAAGCAGCATGTACTCTCCCTCTTCAGCCACTCTGCCAAGCCCCCAAACTCAGAAGAATTATAGCCATCATTACTGTACTCTTATGAGTAGAAAATAGCTCTATCATACAGTGTATCATGTATCATATTGCAGTCATGCATTTGAATTATATTTGTTTCATAGTTTATAATTTTTACATGTTTTACAGTTGCATAACTATTGCATAAGGAACTTACTAATATCTGTTTATTTGTATTACTTGTGAACTCTGACAAGTCTAAGAATTTTTTTTTTTTTTTTTTAATTTCTGGGTTAAAGAGTACATTGTGTCTTCCAGCCCTTTACCAGAAGATGATAGTATTGAAGCAGATATACTAACTGGACCAGAGAACCAGCCTGGTAAGAACAACCTGTTACTTTCTTTTCAATGAACTTTGTGTTGTTTTTGAACATTTTTGTCAAGAAAAAAATCACTGAGTTTTTATTCCATCATAGCCAAACAATTAATTGAACATTGAGGAAAGCATTTTTGGAATGCTTGAGAAATTTAACTTAACAAACAAAAAAAAAAAACCACCCTTGGTTTTTGGAAATGTTCATAAGAGATGGGAGATCATTTTCAGTACTAAGAAGTGACTATATGTAAAGTCTGCCTCTAAGACATTAATGCCTTACTGATCTCTTGCCATGATGCAGAAACAATAGTGACCAGAATCTAGACTTTGTGAATTGATGCTTTGGAGTTTTGTTTAATGTTTTTCTCAACAACGAAGTGGCTACAAACCAGTGTTTCTCTTATTTATCTTAAGCAACTAAACATTCTTTCTGGGTTTTTTTTTTTTCTTTCTTTCTTTCTTTTCCAATTTCAGACCTAGTAGAAGTTAATGGAAATAAAGTGCGAAAGAAACTAATAGCTCCAGACATTAGCTTGACACTGGATCCTAGTGATGGCTCTGTGCTGTCAGATGACTTGGATGAAAGTGGGGAGATTGACTTAGATGGCTTAGACACCCCATCAGAAAACAGTAATGAGTTTGAATGGGAAGGTAATTATTTCACCATTTCTGTCTGATTGATCTTTGTTAATGAATGTTGTGTGCCTTTACATGTTTTTACAATAGCATTCCCTTTAGAAAATTAGGGTACTTGATAAATCTTAAAATTTATTTAGGAAACCTACTAAAATCCAGTGTGTTAAGGGATTTTGTTTGAAGATGTTATTCCTTTTAAAGTTCACATATTACTAAGATACAAGATTCTGCAAATATTTGAATATGCTATGGGTTATAGTAGATTATACAGGGTTTCTTTTTTCCCTTATTTGCTCCATGCTGTAAAGTTTTGTTTTTTCATGGTTGCTCCAGAAATAATGCTTGAAAATTATAGTATTCTCTTTTTGAGTTAATCAAATGAAAAAAAAGAAACCTTTGAAGAGACATATACCAGGGAATGTGATAAGATTAATTAAGGATTTTCAGAGAGGGAGTTCTGAAGGGAGGTTCGGGAGTTAAGTTTGCCTAATAGTGCTCCACTTTGTGAAAGGACCAACTTGAATTAACGTATACTTTAGCCACCTAACTATACATTATCATTTTAATTATTTGAAATTCCAAGGAACTGGCATGTGTTTTGCTTTGCATGCTGTCTTGAATTAGATAATATATAATTAATACTTTTTTATATATTCCGTCTTTAAACTGATTTTTACTTCAGAGCAGTGTTTACTTTAGTATTTTATCTACAGTAAAAAGTAATATGCTTTATCTTTTGTTCTTTTTTCTTCCCTGTTTTACTGGTTCAATAAAACACACCAGTAATAAGCAATATTTTATAAAGATACTGAAATAGTTTTCTGCCTATGTGTTTTGTCTCTTCTTTCTTTAATGCTGCTGTAGTCATTTCCTGGAAGGATATTTTCCGTTAACAGCTTTGTCTGGAAACAACTAACATGCAGTAGGTTCCCCCTCCCCCTCATCTGTTGGTAAGGACTAAGATACTAAAATTTTGAAAATCATTACTTCATAAAAATCTGCTAAACTGCAATCTGCAAACATAAATTACACTTAATCATCGGTGCTTTGGCTAATGTTAATTTAAATAAACTTTGCATGTATTCTTCAGAATGAAGAATGAAATGAAAAATGATCATTAAGTAGTTAACCACTTTCTATCTTATATTAAAATGTTTAGAAATAAATTTATGTGCTAAAAAAGAGTTGGCTGTCAGTTGTAGTAACTCTTAAAGGAGACTCTCAAAAGGCATTCTGGAGCCACTGTAATAAGATTTTGATGGCTCTGTGAAATATCTTTTCCGAATTTGTGGATACACATTGCGCTGTGTAAGTGCTTTGTTGAATTGGGCAATAAGAAAGGTTTTAGAAAACTGATTTCCAAAGACAACGAAGAGGCCTTATATTAAGTAAGAGTAAGCCTTTTCCTGTATTATGAAACAGGTATTTCATATTGCATAGAAGGCATAATGAAAATTCTCTTAAATGGCTGTAGTCCAGCTATTTCGGAGACTGAAGCAGGAAGATCACTTGAGCCCAGGAATGTGAGGCCAGCCTGGACAGCAGCATAGTAAGAGATGCCATCTCAAAAAAAAAAAAAAAAAAAAAAAAAAACTCTGAATAATCTAGATAGGAAAGTGGTTAACATATAATTTGATTTTTATTGCATAAATAACAGTTTGTGATTCAAAAACCTTTTATTTTAACAGATGATCTACCAAAACCCAAAACTACTGAAGTAATTAGGAAAGACTCAATTACTGAATACACAGCAGCAGAAGAAAAAGAAGATGGACGACGCTGGAGGATGTTCAGAATTGGAGAACAAGACCACAGGGTTGATATGAAGGCAATTGAACCCTATAAAAAAGTTATCAGCCATGGAGGTAAAAGTTATTGAAGATCCTTCAGATTTGTTAGTGCAATACCAGAAGTCTAAATGCTTGTTTATAAAATACCCCTAAAAATACTACGTAATTTTGAAAGAATAAGAAACATTTCTCATTCTCATACCATTTTAGAAATAAAACAGATTTGAAATAAAAGGATAAAAACCTACATTTAAAAAAAATGTTAATATATGTATATAGTAAGTTCAAAAACTACAGAAGAGTTTATTGTGGAAAAAAGTCTCCCTCTCACTGCTGTCTTTCACCACCTAAAGCTGTGGGTTTACTTTTCTCCTTTGAATGCATTTATAACTCATACACAGTGAAATGCTCTGGTTTGAAGTACATACTTACATGAGTTTTGAAATACACCTCTTTAACTATATGCCCATGTATATAATTCACACTCCTAAATATATAAAACATTTCATTGCCTTAGAAAATTCGCAAAATTGCTGGAACATTGTTACACAAGTCTTTTCTTGAATATTGGTACAACTGAACTTAAACTGTAATTCTTAATTTATCTTAAAACCCTAGACAAATGACTTGATTTTCGCAGAGACCTAGTTCATTCCACAGTATCTATGGAATAGCCACTTTGCATATTTATGGAATATACAGAAATAAAACTTATTTTGCATAGGAAATTTACAAGTCAAATAGGAAAGCTATGTAAGTACAAGTTAAAGTTTGTATGAGTCTGAACTATCACATAATAGAAGTGTACCTCAGCACAATGCATAGTTTCAATAATGTCTTTGGCAGTCAAAATTTAGCTCATTCTGTTGTGTTAACTTCAGTCCTAACACTGACCAGAGGGGCAGATAGGTCCAGTAAACTTACTTGATTTTCTCACACAGAATCATTTCCACTTAATTTACTCTCTGCCACATGCCTTCCCCTGCTTATTTCTGCATTCTTCATTCATCTGAAAGCAAATCACTTGAATATTTGCAGTTATACTCTTCTGCCTAATTTAATCTTATTCAAATGAAGAAAACAGGATAATCTGTAGATTAGAAGTCCACAGACACACTCTTTCAGATAGTACACAGAAATCAAGTGAGACCTGCCTCTATGGTTTCAACCTCATATCTTTCAGAAACAGTACTTTATTTTTCTTAGGAATCTTATCCTGTTGGATTGTCTATCACACTTAATATGTTTTGTGACTGATTCTAATGTTCTCGAAATGTTGGGATCTTTTCACTTCATGTCTATAAACAGTAGAAATGACATAATGCAAAAAAATCTGAGTATTGCATTTCCTATTGTTTTCTTCACCAAGAATTATATCAGAGATGTGATCTTTTCTTATAATACTTCTAAATTATTTTTTAAGGAACACCTACTTAAGCAATAAATTGAACAAGAATGCTTTATTTTAGATGTTACATTATATCTGCATAGATTATTATCACTGTTATTTGTCTGCTTGCTAAAATATGGCTGGCTTTTTTTTAACTGTGCTATTAAAGTCATTTTCTGTGAACCATACAGATACCACCTAAAAATGTTTTAGAATAAAATCATGCTGGTATTTTTATCTTTAATTTCTTTTTTAGGATATTATGGAGATGGATTAAATGCTATTGTTGTGTTTGCTGTCTGTTTTATGCCTGAAAGTGGTCAGCCTAACTATAGATACCTAATGGACAATCTCTTTAAGTAAGTATTTCTTAAAGACTTGGGCAGAATTAGACCTCTGCATTAAGGAAACATGAACTTAAGCTGTGTAAAAATTATAAATAATCCTAGTTCTGAATCCAAGTCCTTATTCTTTGGCATTGTGAAACTGTTGTTTTCCACTTCAACATAAAAATTGACATTTTCAAAATTTGAAGATATTACTCAGATGATTTATTACAAATTCTTTATTTTACTTTTGCAGACACATTAAAGTGGCTTTCACTTCAAAATAATATAGCTAAATTACATTTGTCCCTAGAAACCCAGTATTATGAGCTGACTTGGTTCTCTTACATTTCCACAGTCATTCCATTTATCAGATTAGCATAGTTCTTAAAAGTCTTTATTGTGGAAATTTTCAAACATAATACAGAAGTGATGAGAAGTACTTCAAATCTTCATGCATCAGTCACCCACTTCAGCAATTATCAATTTATACTTCATTCCCACTGTCTCCCTGCTGTATAATTTTGAAACAAATCCTGGACATTGTTTCATTTAATTTTTAAACATTTTAGTATGTATCCTGAAAAATAACCTAATGTTTTAAATAATCATAATATCAGATAATATAGTTTTAAATTTTTAATTGTGTTTGCTGTCATTTTGGGGGAGAACAGGGAATTGTATTAATTTGGAGAAGTTTTGCACAGTGGTATTTAAAGCTTATACCTAATTGTTTTTACAGATATGTTATAGGCACTTTGGAACTGTTAGTAGCAGAAAATTACATGATAGTTTATTTAAATGGTGCAACAACTCGAAGAAAGATGCCCAGTCTGGGATGGCTCAGGAAATGCTACCAGCAAATTGATAGAAGGTAAGGTGAAGATTGTTCTTCATTGTTCCTTATTCCTGCAACTTATACCTTGGGAAAGGATGGATGGAGAATGTAATACATTTCTTGTCACATTTTAAGTTTGCCTAATTTATAGTACTTGGCATATTTTGTTTCTTAAAGATACTCATTTAGCTGTAATTTTTCTTTGGAACAAATTCTGGAAGTGTATTCTCCTGGGAACTAGTTATCCATAATAATTGGAAGAAATTTAACCTTCCAGTTGGTTTGATTTGTGCCATGCCTAGTTTAACCAACTATACCTGTTAGGAGATTTCTCTTCATATCTAAATTTTGACATTAGCTAGCTTTCATGTATATGTGTTCATGATGGTCATTTTTTTTATGTATGAAATATGCATGGTAAATAACTAATTTTACTTGATCATTTAAAAAGAAGAGGTCTGGGATAATGCCTCTCGAGAACCGTAGAGTTTTCAAGACTAGTTATTAGATCTGATTCATGTTGTTTATTATTTTAGTCATCTCTGTTCCCACCTATCTGCCTGGTTAGTGCCTATCATGGCGTTGAAATTAGTACCTACCAACTTCTCCCCAGTGTTGAAAATGAGAATAGTTTACTTTTTATATTCAGTATTGGCTTCTTTCCCTGGTTGACAGAGTCCTAAAGACAAGTGAATGTATGCCAGGAGACATAAATTTGGCTAAGTGAAGTAAAGTTTTATTTCATAGCAGTAGAAGGGACCATCAAAATTCAAGAATGCATTTTCTTGTCTTCAGGAATATCACACTTAAATGAGGACTTTTGGGTGGCAGTTCTCAATGATTTGTGTAAGCCTTCACATACTTATTGATCACTTAACTTAGAATTAATATTAGAATTTGTTGAAATTTCTAAATTTTCTTTTTTTTTAAACTCCAGGTTACGGAAAAACCTAAAATCTCTAATCATTGTACATCCCTCTTGGTTTATCAGGACTCTTTTGGCTGTTACAAGACCATTTATTAGGTAATTGTCTAAGAGCCCTTGACTTTTAAAAACAAAAATAATCATTGTATAAATACCTTGTCAGATATATTAAGGTAATTGTTTTTATTTTCTTCCCATAGCTCAAAATTCAGCCAAAAAATTAGATACGTCTTTAATTTGGCAGAACTAGCGGAACTTGTTCCCATGGAATATGTTGGCATACCAGAATGCATAAAACAGTATGTTTTCCTTTATTTCTTTAATTATATTAGATCTTTATATTTTGATGTGCAAGAGATAGTATTTTTCAATTCTTGTTCTTTGTTCATATATTTTTAACAAGCTTTTTTTCTTTTTATTTGTAACAAAGAAATAGAGGACAAAGCTTTTATGCCATGCCTTCTCCATAAGTCACCATTTTCTTCAGCCTATCAATTGAAGTACTAGGAGAAGTGATTTCAGATTATGATTTACTTTATATTTTTAAAGACTTTGTAATTTAAGAGATGATAGCTGATTGATTGGACAGTGCTAAGGAGCATTCTCCAAACTTGAACATCTTGCTCTCCAAATCAGCCTAACTTAATATTTTCCACTGAGTAGAATTTGTTCGTTACCAAATTCATTTCCATCTAGCTCCTAAAAAGAGTTGGTAAAAAGCTGTTAACATAAATACTTGAGCATCACAATGCTTTTATGTAGGGAAGTTCCTTCTGTTAATCTGAGGTTTGAGTGTTTATGGAAGCCAGATTTAGTAAGTCAGCTTTTACTTTGTACATAGTGTGTTAAGTATTTCATGTTAAACAGTTGTGCCTGCTAACTTAAGTTTCTTTTTAGTACCAGTTTTTGGTTTTTGGGGTTTTTTTTCTTTTTAGTTTCTGTTAATCTCATAACATGTATTTACTGAAATAACTCTTCCCTACCAAGGTATGAAGAAGAAAAGTTTAAAAAGAAACAAAAAAGGTATATGCACACCTTGACTGGGTTGCATCTAGACTAGTCCATTTGCATTGCACACACTAACTCTTCTTATTGGTTGGTTAGCTTGTAGACAAAGATACTAGCACTTGTAAATATAACTATACCCCAATATCCAAATACAGGGTGAACCCAAAGTTCCCTGATGCTGAATATGACTTGGATTCACCCTGTTTTAATACCATATATAATTCCTACTCTTTTCTTGCTGGTCTGGTCACTGATGGTGAAACCAGAGAAATTACAAAACATACTATTTAAAATACAAACTGCTATTTTAAAAGCTAACTATTTCACCACTTTCTTTAAATCTCTAAGTTGTGCTTTTGAAATATTTATGCAGGGCTGGGTATACAGTACAACTGGCCTAGAATGTGCAAGGCCCGACTTCAGTCCCCAGAAAATAAAAAAAAAAAACAGAACTTCTTAGTTCTGGTGGTGCTGGCCTATAATCCCAACGCTTGGGAGGCTAAACCAGGAGGCTTGCAAGTGGAGGCCAGTGGGCAATTTAGCAAGACCATGACTCCAAAAAAAAAGAAAAATTTTATGCAGAATTTTTAAAGGATTAAATTTATTTCTGTGGGGTTAAGGATTATATTTGCAATGCGTATATTCTTTGGCTAACCAACATTAATTTCCTTGTATGCTTAAATTAAATAGCCTGCTAACCAGTCAAATTTTACATGTGATAAAATACCTAAAAGTTCAATTTAATAGTTAAACACCTGCTTCCCATTTTAAATTTAATTTTGAATACTTCTGCTTTGAGCATAACAACCTATTTATAATATATTGGCATAGAAGATGAAAGGCAAAGGTATAAATTGTTTACCTGTTTATATAGTAAGTTTGGAAAGTGTAGGATTAGGATCTGATTTCATTCTTTGTTAGATTTTTGAGACAGGGTCTCACTCAGTAGCCCAGGCTGGCTTCAAACTCAGTGATCCTCCTGCCTCAGCCTCCCAAGTGTTGAGATTCCAGCTTGTTAATAGATTTTTAAATTTTTGATAGTTAACAAAACATAGCTAAGATTAAGGTGAGAGATTTATACGTATTATTTTTTCACCATCTGTAGAACCAACTATAACTGTTACTGGAATATTTTTAAACTTTAAACGTACTTTGGTTCTGTTGGTGAGTGAGATTTCAGTACCCCTGGTTTAGTAGAATCATAGTTTTACATTTCTCTGTGATACTTTACAGTTTAACCAACACTAACAGAGATGTGGACAGTGATTTTAGACCATGCAGATTTCTCATTCCTGGGACTGGCAGAGTGGCTCAAGTGGAAGAGCGCTCACCTAGCATGTGTGAAGCCCTGAGTTCAAACCCCCGTATCATCAAAAAAAAAAATTTTTTTTTTGTTTTGATTTCTCATTCCTTTCTAGGCATTGTTATGCATTTGCCAGGCAAGTGACTAAAATTTAAAACCTGTAATTGTAGAATATTTTGAAGCCAGCTACTTCCTGAAGGTGCCCTTTGTTGATGAAATGTACTTCATGCTGTCTTTTTTTTTTAAGTTTTTAGCATTTAATTAACTGTCAAAAGTTAATTTAGGCATCAGAAAAAAAGTCAGATTCATATTTTTTATTTAGATACATTGTTTGAAACTCTCTATTACTTTATCTTAAATTTTGTTTTTCACTTTTGCATGTGTTTCACCTTAAATAGGATTATTATACCTATCTTCCCGGTTCTTAGTGTTGATACAAAGCTCTTTTAGCTTTAAAAAATACTAAATCCTTGTCAGTTCAAGAATGGTAAGACTGAATTTTTTCAATTAAATTTAAATATAGTAACATGTTTTTAAAACCAAAACTTAGGGAAGCTTAACATGTCCATGACAAAGCACTGGTGTTTTAGTGTTGGGGTATAGCAGTTTTAAATGTTTCCAGTGTTTCTTTCAACAGCATGTGTGGCCATGCAAGTATCATGGATTAAAAATGTTTCAGCAGACTTTAAAAAGTAGCTATGGTATTAGCTCATAACACTTTTTCAGATTCAAAAAAGTTACCATTTATATATATATTGCATACCTTATCAGGGGTATGAACCTTTCAAATATTTGATGCCAGTAAGAATATTTTTTAATTTTGTTAATTTGGCTTTACAATAGGCCAGGGCTTTTAGGTCTGATTCACTGATAATCAGGTGATGATAGTAATGGGCGCTGATGATTATACTAATGGAAGTAAGTGTGAAAAGTATTTGCCTACATTGTACCAGATTGTTTTACACATTCCCACATTGGTTATTCAAACTACAAACATAATAGTAATAGACTGTTGCATGTTATATTTGAAGAGTTATCTATAGTTACTGTGTGGAAATTGATGTAATTTTTTTAGTATCCATGTGCCTAAATTTTGATATGACCTCTGTCCAATTTACCACTAATCCAGTGAGATTTCTAATGCACATTTAGGTATTTTTGAACATTAAAATTCTTATGGCTTCTTACTATCAAAATTAATGAAAGGCATTCACAGACAGTGTGCTAGTGATGTCTGGAAAATGACAAGATTTCTGTAAGAATGCAATTCTAATCCTGGATTTAAAAATATTAATTAATCAATTGGGTGCTTTAGTGACATTCCTGTATTTACAATTAACAATATCATTTTTGAGGGAGCTGTATTTCCTTTTGCCAGTTGCTTAGCACTTGGATATCTGCCATAGCCAAGCTACATGTCATGAACTTTTAAGAAGTTTATATGTGTATATGTATAAGTATTTTATAATCTTTAAAGAAACAACATTCACATTTCTTGCCCAGTGTCCTCTTGCCTATAAAAATTCTTTATCTTTCTGGTTGGGGAAATAATTATTTGGTAATCTTTTTACTGTATCTGCTTCCTTGCAAAGCTTTGTTTTTTAACAGAATAATATTCTATACTAAAAGTCATTTTTTTAAAACAAAATTGCTCGGTTGCTGGCGCTTAATCGTCCATGTTTTTCATTAAACAGAGTTGATCAAGAGCTTAATGGAAAACAAGATGAACCGAAAAGTGAACAGTAAGTTTGGCTTCTAGTCCAAACAAAAGTGAGGAATGTGCTGGTGAAACAGTACTGTTTATTGCATTTATAATGCATTTATTGGCTTGTGTTTTACATAATCTGTTAAAAAATTGACTTGACTTTTTCTTGATGGACTTTTTGTACAAGGAACTGTTCACCACAGTATTGTTTGCAAATCTCTTGAATTTAGCTCTTTAATGGCTATAGTGTAATCATTTTGTATTTTATATTGCTAAATAGCAGAGAACTACACTTTATATAAGGCAATTTTGCATTTGTTTATTGAATGATGGATCCATCTTCAGTAAAATATTTATATGCATAAATGGCAAAGGAAAGAAATAATATATTTTTTATGTTTTTGAGCAATATTTTTTAATGTATACCTATCTGTGGAAGAATATGTAGGTAAATAAGACCATAATTTTGTAAAGTGCATGTTAGAATTTTTGTTTTTGTAAATGGTTGAATACATTTCCTGGGTAACTTAGAAAATTAAGTTGCTCTAAGGCAAGGGACAGTTAAACTGATTCTCATGAATATCCAAAGATCATGTTTATAATATAAGTAGATTAGTACCATCTCAAACTTTTCTTCACTTTAATGTATATTCCTTAATTCAAAGGCACAAATACAAGTGCATTGCACACCTTTTCTTTTTGAAGGACAAGTCAAAAAGCCACTTTTAGAACTTTTGAGAGGCTAGAAATTGGGGTTTGTGTGTATGTACATATGGGACATTCTGTCTTCTGGCCCAGAGTCAGAGCTGTTTAAAAAAAAAAAATTCATGGATTTGTTCACCAGTGTGAAAGGAGTTGTGTGTCAGGTGTCAATCGCATGAGTGCATGAGTGCTGTGTAGTATTGCAGAGAATGTAATGAGTATTCACTGCACAGCTTTCTCTAGAAAAATGGGCTGCTTTTGAAACTGTGCTCACTTGTGAACATTACCAAAATGCTTAGAATGTCAGTTATTTGAACTCAGTAGTTATTTGACCTAGTCACATATGGTGTGCTTTTGAGTTTCTATTGAATCATGTGTGATAATACTGTAAATTAGGTTAATACTGAAAGTCTTAGAGCACCATTATATTGTGCTGTTTGGGGTGACACATTTGATACAAACATGTAAACTCCTTGTTTCATTTGTAAGTACCTTTACATCAAAATAAATGTTATTTGTGCCTCCAAACAGACCTTAATTAACTATAAAGTCATCCTAGAACAACATATTGGTCTACTATTGTCATATGTTTGAATTACATATACATATCTAATGAGGTTATATCCTCCATATTTGAAGGTATCCCTTCCTGGAAATTCTTTTATTGGAGTGGCCTAGAGTAGCAAAATTGAAGCAGATTTATTCTCTCCTGTACTGAACACACACATGGCTTTTACCCTTTCATTTTTTAGTGTAAAGTTTCTGTTGTGAAAGGGAATTTTTCTTTAGTCATAAGCTTGATCTGCTAACTTAAATCCAGTTAGGGGAGATGCTAGAGGATTCCCTGAATGAGGTATCCCTTGGCAGCCTCTTAACTTGGATCCAACAGCTATGCATCCTGTACTAATGTCATTACAGTGACATTAAGCCAAAACCGTTATGAAATACTTGCCTGAAACCTGAGAAACACTTTGTGTTAAAGAAGTAACTTAACAGTAACTACCTAGGCATTCCTTCTGAACTTAACCATATGAGAATTATGAATGAAGATCATCTTGGGTTTTATTATGATTAGATAGATACCATACTTGTAGAACATTTTAAGTAGTCTTTCATCTGTATGTCTTTATCTTCTCAAAACGGGCTGACCTCTTTAATAGCACATTAAGTTCTTGACTCTTCCATTTCAAAACTACAAAAAATTTCAACTCTTTATTGTGTTTATTAACTTTTGCTTTTGCAGATACAACTTGTTGCAAAAGGGATGTTTTTCTAAATTTTTTGAAAATGCAAGTAAGCCTATATTGTGTCAGAACATTAAAATTCAGAGTGAACAGCTTGGCAGGGTGGTTCAAGCCTGGTAACCCAGCCCTCAAGAGGCTAAGGCAGGAGGATCATGAATTAGAAGCCATCCTGGGCTACAGAGTGAGACCATGTTTTACAACTTCAGAAGGAACAGTGATAACACTTATTGTAATGACAGGAACACGCTATGAAGTACTACCTTAAGGATACTTGCTTTAACCTATACCTTAATGGAATCTGGTATAGCGATGTGCCCACAATAAGTGTTTTTATTAAGTTTATTTTTAATTTATATCTAACAATTTCCCATATTATTTGATGTTAATTTCCATTACTGATTGAGGTGAAGGTACATTATGTGGGGTTTTTTTGTCTGTCTGCTGGGGTCATGGATCTAATTTCACTGGCTTAATTCAATGTTTTCTTCACCATCTTTGCTACACTTAGGTTCTGAATACCCCCTTTTTATTCCTGTTTGTTTTATAAAATAATTTGATTCCATGTTCTACTTGATCATGTTCCTAAACCAGCACCAATGAAAGTCATGATATTGACGCTACATTTACACATAATAGTCTTGAACTCAAAGGAGTGAAGGGGAATATGAAGAAATACGATTCTAAGTAGAGTTTAGTTAGCACAGTTGAAAGATAAAGGGAAAAAAACCTTTACAAAGAGATTAAAAACTTAGCTGTTACCTAAGATGCCCACTAAATGTGTCCCTCTTAAGGAAGTACTCTATTGGCAGTTGTTGGTACCATTATTTGTATCCAACAGGAAAGTCCATAGCTACATCCAGTATGTGAATAAAGAGAACATGGATTGAAGGAGGAAAAGCTGACTGTTTTTGTGGTGAGAATCCACACTTTCCTCTGTCTCCGTTACAGAAGCAGGTTTGAACACAGTGGATTAGCAACTATAGGGCTCAAATTAAAGTTTGTTACTTCCTTTTTCACAGTTTGTAAACAGTAATGTAGGCTTTCAGAATAGATACCACTATGTAGTGACTGCACTGAATACTGAAATCTGCTGGACAAGTAAATATCTGTACCTAGAATTTCTTCACAGCTCTAGAGTTTTAAAAAGTAAGGAGGCTGCTTTTGGGTAGATTTCCTTCATATATCACATTACTGTTTGGATGTTTATGTGAGTGCTCAGGGAATTTGGATAAGTGATTTAATGCAGAAGTGGCTTGTTAGGTTTCTCTAGTTAATAATAATTAGTATTAGGATATATCTGGCAGAAAAGGCCAGTTTCTTGATCTGTTTGGTAAGACTATATATGTAAGCCTTCTTTTTCCTGTGTGGTCAGTAGAAAATTGTCAACATAGTTTGATCAGATGGAAGGCAAAAAGAGGCTGACAGGTAGAGATGGCTACCCCATTGTATTTTGTTTTCATGCTTGTTTTTTCCCCATCCTATATGGATATTTAAGAAGTGGGTCACAAGCAAATCTTAGGAGGATGGAGTAAATAAGAGGAATTAATGTACTTATAAGTTAGGCCTTTTGGTGTTGAAGAGTTCATCTTGTCATAGGGAATGAAAACTGTGTAGTTTAAGTTACAAGTAGAGGCAAGAACTTAGATTGCATGGGATAGTAAACTGAGGAGGGAAGAGGGGTAGAGTCTATGTAATTTTCTAAGCTAGTACAAAAGAATTGCCTGGGGAAGCCCTTTCTTCACTGTCCTCAAGAAGGAATTTGAAAACATCCCCAAGGAGGCTCAGTAATGTAACTTTCCTTTAAAGTTCTGAATGGTAATTGAAATAAAGTATATTGAAAAGGAAGGACTGACACTAACATTTGAATAGAACAGTTGGTTGCAACTATATATAATAGAGGTAATTTCTTTCATTTTGAGAACTAAGTTTTAAAATGCTAGGAAAAACTCATACACAGCACTTAACAAATCAAGCACCAATTGAAAATCAAGAGTTCAGTGCATTCAAACTAAGCTGTTTGCTTCAAATAGCTCTCTGATTCTTACAAGACTTCTTCTAAGAGGTTAAGACATTTGTATTTGAATTTTCGTGCATTTTCACATTCAGTTTGACAAAGAAAGAACTTGAAAAATACCAGCTACTTGCACTGCACCTGCTGTATGTGGACTTTAACAGTTGCTTAATTTTTATTTACATAAATCTAGCTAGTAGGTGGTGTTCAGGGCCACTGACTTGCACAACCCTTAGAACACTTCACATAGAACACAATTCAGAATTTCTTAGACACTAGTGCACTTTCATATATGTTTCTTTCAAAAATATTTTCATTACCACAGTACATATAATGTCATTTGGGCAAAATTAACTTACTGTGACCTTTTTATTACTATTAGGATGATGTTATATAGTTCTGATGTCTCTGTTCAAGGTGGTGTTGTCCCTGTAAGAAATACTAGGGTTGGTCATGATTTACTAAACAAATGTAATATTTTCTTTTCCTTTGACTTGTTAGGAACACAATAACTTATGTCCTGTTGTGCACATCATTTTTTGCAACGTTAATGAATTTTAATAAATTAATTGAAAGTTTGATTTTGCCTCATTACGTTTCTTTAGTTATGTTATCAAAGTTTTACTGAATTATCGAGTAAGCCTTTCAAGTAATTTCAGATCTTTACTCTTGTTTCTCTTTCTGTGGTCAGGGTACTTCCTATTTTGGGGGGGCTGAAGGGTTCAGTTTGCTTTAGTTTTTAACATTATTTAAACTGTAATCACCTTGTATTTCATAGTTTTGAATTACTTTAGTAGGTAATCCAAGGATGGAATTACAAGAGGCTGAAAATGAAAACATGCATAAATGAGAACTTGTTTAGTCTGTGGACAGGCGGTCGTTGCAGTTGGCAACACTTGTTTTTGCACTCGGCTGCTCAGGAGCCAAAGGGCTGTCACTGTAACTGCAGCCTTCCAACCAGTTAGGATGCCACGCACTGATGTCTAAGGGAATTTGGCAGTATGCAAACTCGAAATACTGATATATTTGACTTGTATATTAGCCACAAGTTTGAAATACAAATTCTCCAAAATTAAAATTATTAAGGAATCAAACTAACACCTTGCCAGGCTACCTTAATCGCAGTCTTGGTTTGAATGGTTAAGTCATTCCCTGCTATCTTCAGAATTCAGTCTTGTTTAGTCTTGCAGTAGTAAAAACCCACACAATACAATGTGAATGCCCGCCTCACATTTTAAATTGTACATGTAATGATGAATCTAAAAATTCCAACCTCCAGAGCGACCCGGTAGCCCTGCTGCGTAGCTCCGGGTGTGAAGGTCCCTCCCTTTCTCACTAAGGAGTGGTGGATGGGTCCTCCCGCCCGCCGTCGTGGGGGTACTTCCGGGTTCCGCGAGCACTTCCGGGTCACCGGCCTGTGGTTTCTGCGGGCTGCAGGAGAGGCTGTCGGCTAAGTGGGCGCCTCCTGTCGGGCTCTTAGCCGCGCCTCTTCTGCGCGTTCGGCAGTGGGAAGCCCGGTCCCCACGGGAAGCGGTGAGTTGGGCCGGGTCAGGCCGGGGAAGCGGAGGTGGGCTCCGAGGGGCCCGGAGGTGGGGACCGTGGCCGCCGGGAGGACGGTGTCCGTCCCCCGTTCCTGTCCCGCGTTGCTGGGCGTTTGCAGTCGTTCTTCCGACTCTGCCGCTGCAAACCCCCACAGAAGAACGAGTTTAGCCTCTAGCAGGACGGGATACTTCGAATTTCCTAAAGTCCAGACCGAGGGGGTGCGTTAAATCTGTGCTGATACCTCTCCTGAAAGATCTGAACACACACGGACGTTTTAGGAGTCTAGGATTAAGGCGACCAATTTTAACAGATGTTTAATACCTCATCGCTGTTTTCTAGATAATTCTTGGGCACAAGATTCTGTCTTCCTACTTTGTAAAATTCTTGTCTCCTGTGGGGGCCGCCCTTTGCCCTTCTTAGCCCCCTCCTCTCCACATGTTATCTTAACGTTTACCTTCAGTTGAACAAATGTTTTACTCTACTCCTTTTGTTTTGGGTACTTGCTGCTTTAGACGCCCAGTTTTCTTTCGGAACAAAACACAAAACTCCATGCCCCATGGAGATCACATTCCATTGGGTGATGCAGTAAGAAAAAATACATATATATATGTATATACACACACATATATATATACACACACATACATATACATACACACATGTATATACACACACATATTATGTAATGTGTTAGAACATGATTGGTGCCATCTGAAAAACTAAGCAAGAATAAAGAGTTTGGGGAAGTTCCACAGTAGATGTGGGAATTGATATTTTAAATATGGTGATCACTTAAGACCTTATTGTGTAGAAACTATTTGAGCAAAGAGAGTTAGCCAAATAAATATCTGGGGAGGAACATTCCAGGCAGAAAGAGCAGCCATCACAAAGGCTCTGCTGTCATGGTCAGGGAAATTGCAAAGAAGCATTTATATCTGGAAAGGCTGTGTGGAAGCTGTGAGAGGTTTGGAACAGAGGAGAGGCAAGATCTGAAAGATCACACTGATTGTGAGTTTGGATTAAAGTGTAGATGGTATGTGTAGAACCCAAGAGAGAGGGAAATCAAGATGCTATGCAATAATTCAAATGACTGATAGTGGCTCAGATCAGGATGACAATATTGGACATGGTGGTTGCATTCTAAATGTATTTTGAAGGTAGCACTTACAGGATTTGTTAGGATGAATTCCAAGATTTTGTGAAAGGCCATAGGAGTATGGAGTTATTTTTCAACTGTGGCTAGAGATGTTAAATAGGAAATTAGATCTGGGAGTGAGAAGTTTTATGTGGGTGAGTGAATTTGAGAATCATCAACAAAAGTATTTAAAGCCATAATAATGAATATTACTACTAAGGAATGGGTGTAGACAGAAAGTGACAAGTCAAGAGACTGTGTCCTGTGACATGAAAAGTTCAGGGATAATGCCAGCTACTCAGGCAGGGAGATCAGGAGAACAAGCTTCAGGGCCAGCTCAGGCAAAAAATTAGGGGAACTCTATCTCAACCAATAAGCCAGTCATGGTGGTGCCTAGCCCTTTATCCCAGATACTCAAGATGCATAAATGGGAGGATTATGGTTCAAACCAGCCTGGGGGAAAATTTCAGGACCCTATCTGAAAAAGAACTAAAGTGAAAAGGGCTGGAGATGTGGCTCAAGTGGTATAGTGCCTGCAAGCACAAGGCCCAGAGTTCAAACCACAATACCAAAAAAAAAAAAAGTTCAAGGAAAAGAGGATGAACTAGCTATTAAATTAGGGAATAGACTCCAAGGGAAATGCTCTGAGAGCAAAGCAAAAATCCTTCAATAAAGAGGGAGGAGTAATCAGCTGTGTCAGATGATCTGATGTGAGCTGTCACTTTAGCAATCCCACGATGACCATTACCAATTTTTTTTACAGTGCTAGAGTCAAAAGACTACTAGTTGTGTGTTTAGGAGAAAAAAAGGAATGGGAAGCAGTGACTATAGACAGTTCTAAGGAGTTTTTCTACAAAGAGGAACAGACAAATAGAGCATAGGTGTTGGGAAATGAGGTGTTTGCTCTTCTTTTTCCCAGGATGGAAGAAGTAACCACTGGCTTGTTTGCTGATAGGAATGACCAAAGGGAAAACTTTGGTGGTGAGGGAGAGAATAGAATTGTCAGAACAGTATCCTCAAATGAACTAGAGGGGTAGCACCTGATGCAAATGTAGAAAGATTTATTTAGATAAAAACATGTATAGTGACAGACCAGGTAGGAATGTAGAGTAGTAAGGGCATGGATATCAGTAGGTAGTTAAATGTAGTTGTAAAAGTCTGGAAGTTTTCATTGCCTTAGTTTCCTCAGTAAAAATAGAAGATTTTAGGTCCCACTTTAAATATATTTCTAATATTTATATCAATACTTGGACATACCACTAAGTTTTTTATTCACTCAACAAATACTTTTTGAATATATACATACTGTGCACATTGTTCTATATGATAAGTACTAAACAAGTCTCTGGATATCTATTCTAGTGGATAAAGACAGAATAAACACACATAGATCAGCTCAGTTGTTGATATCAATGAAAATAAATCAGTGTAAGGAAGAAGGGAGATAATATGGAACTGAACTATGTAGGTATCTGAGAAGAACATTCACAACAAAAAGAATAGCCAATGCAAAGGCCCTCAAGCAAGAACATGCTTGTCATGTCAAAAAAGAGGACCAGTATGAGTGCAGCAAAGTGAGAAACTGAGTGATAAGGGCAGAAGGGTAGTAGAGTGAAAGTGAAATGTCCCAGAAACCAAGCAAAGCACATCATTTAGGCCTTACAAACTACTGGAAGAACTCTGACTTTTACTCTGGGATGAGAAACTGGTAAGGTAGTCTTAAACAGATGAATGATGTGAAGAAATAGTAAAGATGCACATTTTAATAAATGACATCTATACTGTATTAAAAGGATGCAAATGCTTATGTGAAAATCACAAAAAATAACTAGAAAAAAATTTCCACTAATTTTAACAGACATTTAAATACTGCATTGCTGTTTTCTAGATAATTCTTAGACACAAGATTCTGTCCTCCTATCTTGTAAAGTTCTTGTCTCCTATGGGGACCTCTCCTTTCCATTCTCAGCCCCCTCCCCTCCACACATTATCTTACTGATGTTTATCTTTAGTTGAACAAACATTCTATCTATTCCTATTACTGTTCTAGACACCCAGTTTGCTTTCAATAAAACAGACAAAAATCCATGACCACTTATTGACCTGTCATTAATTTTAGCAACAAATGATGATGACTGAGAGTGATAGTATTAAAGATGATGGAAACTGTTTGGAAAGAAGAGCTGAAAGGATTAACCCAGTTTGGATAAACTGGGTTAAGAGAGAAAGAAGTTATGTTCACTCACATTTTTGAGTTGTGCTTAACTGCAAGACTAGATTTACTGTTTACTGATGACAGCAATTTTTGGAAGGTTGGTATCAGGAATTTGGTTTTGTACAAATTTAATTTGAGCCACCAACTTGAGTGTTTTCATTCAATATCAAATAGAGAGTTTTACCTGTGGGTACAAGGGCAGGGAAGTCAGGACAGGAGATAGAAGTTTGGGAGTATGAGTAGATCGATGGATAGTATTTAAAGCCATAGGCTAGATGTAGGTAACTAAGAAAGAAAAGCTTATAAAGACCTAAGGAGACTTACGTGGAGGGTAGTCCAGTAGGTGGAAGTTAGGGAGCTGAGAAGGACCAAGATGCAAGAGAAAACAAGAAAGGTAGCAGTTATCTAGTGAGGTCAGAGGAAAGAATTGACAGTGGTGTCCCAAAAGCAAAGAAGTGTCTGAAGAAGGTAGAACAATCCATTGTACCTAATGCTGACACAGTGTATGATTTGGTGACTAATGACTGATCATTATTTTTGCTGATACCTAGACTGCAAAAGCCATGAGGTCAGGATTTTTATAACTGTAGGAGAAGCTCAGTAAATATTTGTTGAATCTGTACTCCTTCTACCCTTTCCAAGCTCCCATCAGTCATCTGTTTCTGATCTCACACTTAAGCCCACTTGTCTGACCTGTCCTGCCTAAAATCCTTTAGGGGCTTCTGGTTTTCTGCACTACTCCTACAAAACAAGCTCATCCATCCCTTTGCCTTCAGCCTCATCTCCTGCCACTCCCTGTTCACCCTCGCCCCAATAATAGAGAACCATTCTTTCACCACAAGCCTTGCTATTTCACACTTTGATGCCTTTATTCTATCAGCCTAGAATGACTTTCCTCCTTTGTTCAACTGAAGTCTCAGTCTGAGCCAACTCAGTCCACAGGCGGCCTGCATAATATCCTGTGTTGTCCCTGTCATTATTTCATATGTCTGTTACCTCATTCCTCCTATAAAGTTTAAGTTTTTAGGATCGGGAATGTATAATTATTCATCTTCCTCTCCTGCTTCCTAGCACAGTGCCATCCTCTGGATAGGTACTCTATAAATATTGAATTTTAAGAAAACAGAAAAATAAGGGAAGAGGCATGCAAATGTGAGCTGGAGACTGGATCAGTGACTTGACAACAAGTGGAAAAGGACTTAATGGAAAAATTCTAGACTAGGAAAATAGACTTTTGAAAGAAATAATAAAAACATACATTTTAATAAATGACTTCTATACTGTATTAAAAGGATATAAATGCTTATGTGAAAATCACAAAAAAATAACTAGAAAAAAGTTGGCTTTTTTTTTTTTGGTTGGTTTGGGGTTTTTTTTTTGGCAGTACTGAGAGTTTGAACTCAGGACCTCAAACTTGCTAGGCTTGCGTTCTACCACTTGAGCCATCTGCCAACCCTGTTTTTGTGTTGGGTGTTTTCAAGATAGGGTCTCAGGAACTATTTGCCTGGGCTGGCTTCGCACCATGATCTTTCTGATCTCTGCCTCCTGAGTAGCTAGTATTACAGGCATGAGCTACTGGCTCCAACCTAGAAAAGTAATTTTTAACCATTTCTTGAAATCCTAAAATTATTATACAGTAATTTATAATTAAGAGTTATAATAGTTCTATATTAAAATGTAGGAGATAGACTATACTGTATACATAATTTATAATGTTACAGTGTGATATTTTTAACTATTTCATATTAAGTTTTTAGGACATCAATGCAAGCCTGAAGAGAAAGCTGTTTCTTCCTCCTAAGCCATGGCGTATCAGTTGTATAGAAATACCACTTTGGGAAACAGTCTTCAGGAGAGCCTAGATGAGCTCATACAGGTGGGGAGTAGAAATCAAACATTTTCATTTAGATGGGTCTGTAATAGTTCTTGTCATATCTCTTATCTCAGGCAAAGCTAAATCAGGTAAACTTACACAAGTCAGTATCACTGACTGATGAATAAATGACCTCCTGTTGATTACAATCATGACAACAGGACAGAAAACATAATTGAGTAATACAGTTCAATATATATTTATATATTTAAATATATATGTGTGTGTGTGTGTGTGTATACATATATATGTATGCACACATAAATTTCATTTAAAATCAATGATTTTCCCCTTCTCATTCAGAAAACAGTATATTTTTATAGCTTTACAGATAATTCAATCCAAATTAATGAAAGTCTTTTGAAATTTTGAATTTATATTTCAATTTTAGGAGAATTAGTGTTATTTAAACCACTGACTACAAACATATTAAATAATTTCATCTGTTTTGCTGTTATTATATGGGCTATGAGTAAGATTTAATTGTTGTTGTTTTGTTTCTTACATATAGGCTTTATACTTTTTGTTTAGAAAACTTGGTTCTCCCAAATTACTGACCTTCTTTTTCTAAACACAGAAAAAGATAGACAAAGTTTTGTTCTGGCTTTGTAAAATCACTGCGTGTTTCCTTTTCAAAATTGTTTTTTGTCATGAGAATGCCAGAGGTATTTTCCAGCTTTGCTTCTTCATTGTCAGTTATGGAAAAGGAGAATAGGGAATTCTAGTTTAGAACCTCAGTTAAATTTTAAATGGTATTTCGTATATTATTATTTATTTTGTTTTTAATGTTCTTCCCAAAGAGGATTTATGACCTTTACGTTTTCTCAGTCTCAACAGATCACCCCCCAACTTGCCCTTCAAGTTCTACTTCAGTTTGATAAGGCTATAAATTCAGCGTTGGCTCAAAGGGTCAGGAACAGAGTCAATTTCAGGGTAAGGATATTTTACTAAATCTAGAAGCCTGCAACAATTGTTTTTTCAATAGTGTTTTTAGGATCTGTATGTATTTATTAATCACAAGAGGAGAAAGCAGCAAATCACATTTTGGAACTTGTTTTGTAATGACTAAATTATACTTTACTTTTAAATCAGCTGTATACTAAGTTCATCCACTTTAAGGTGAGATGCAGAGTTGTTTTTAGATTTCTGTTCCATTGTTTCACAAATCAACCTGTGTATGTTTGTTCACCTTCTCTAAAAAATTACTGAGATTTCAAATACCTGAAAACATTAACTGTACAATTGAAGGTAAATGGCAGTATAATCCCTAAGGTTCAGTTATTTTTCAAACATAGGCCCTTATCCATTCCAGTAAAGTATAGTTATTTCTAGAAACTTCATGTTGCCTCCCACCTACTCTTAAATAATCTGGTTTATAAAAATCTGAATTGTGATCTCTCATGGTCTTTTCTGGTAGCTAGGCCTTGTTTGAGTCATTTAAACCTTAAAAAGTTATGCAAAGCTGAACAAAATATCTCTCTTAATTTGTAGTAGTTTGGGATTCAGGACCCATTAAACTACACAGTAAAACAAATAATTTTACCATATTATGATACTGATAGAATCAGATTATACTGTACATAATGATACTTGGTTATCCTATTATACTTACCTAATATTTGTGCTTATGTTGTGTTATAAGACAACCCTAAAATAGAATTAGAAGCTTAAAATATATGAAGATCAATATATAAAAGAGTTCATGGGTTCCTTGCATTACAGGGAACCTCGGTGCTTTGGGGGAGTTTTGTATTTGTTGATAATGAAAAACATATACAAAAAAATTTAACGTGGCCAGACATTTAGTACACTTGGAAAGCCAAGACAGGAGGATCATGAGTTCAAGGCCAGTCCGGGCTACATAGTGAAATCCTGTCTCAAAAAAAAAGAATGGTTTATTTAAGAAACATTTGAGGGGGTTGGGGATTTAGCTCAGTGGAAGAGCGCTTGCCTGGCAAGGGCAAGGCCCTGAGTTCAGTCCCCAGCACTGAAAAAAAAAAGGAAAAATAGAAAAGAAAAGCAAAAAAAAAAAAAAAAGAAAGAAAAAGAAACATCATTTGAGTGTCTGTTATATGCTAGGCACCATTCTAGATACTAAAAATACAGAAATCAACAGGATAGACAAGGCCCCTGTTTGTTTGACTTAAATTTTAGTGATGAAATCAAATCTACATATACTTTTTGTTGTATATAAGTATCTCTTATTTATCAGTTTCACATGCCTAAAAATTACCTGGAATGAAAAGTTGTCTTAAGTCTTTAAGACTGTAAAATTTGACCAGTGAATTCTTGATTTTTTAACAGTAATGTTTCTGGCAAAGTTGGTTTTTTGGTACTCTTTTTTTTTTTTTTTTTCGGTCCTGTTTGGGTTTTAATTCGGGGTTTTGTGCTTGCTAGGCAGGCACTTGAGCTATGCCTCTTTCCACTCTTTCTTTTCCATTCTATTGACGTAGCTCAGCTTTCATTACCTCCCTTCCCCAATTATAGCAGACTTGATCAATTTTAATTTGCAAATAGCTTTCTGTTTAGCTTGGCATAGCATATAACAAAGAGAAAAGAGGTAATATGTCAGTAATATCTAATTTGCAAAGCCACATTGCTAAATCATATTTAAATAGTTTTTATAATATTTTTTGCTGGACTAGCAATAAAATAGGCACTTATTAAAGGAATTGGGTAATCTTACATAATATGCTGATCCTTTTTGTTTTAAATCCTTATATGCATTCTATATAATTGAGATTCTTAATAGATGTTATAGGAAAAATAACCCGGAAATATGAGAGCTCAGGCTTTAATTATTTATATGTTCAAATTTATTAGTTAAAAAGTCAACATATATGTACCAGGGAACTTGATGGATCAATTTTTAGGGAGAAAAATTCACATTGAATTAATATATATAACTAGGCTTTTAAATAGCCATTGTGTGCTTTTAAGAGAATATCTGCCCAGAGGTCCAAGTAATGGCTACTTAAACATCAGAAAACTTAGCTTCAAACAGCAATTAAACAAGCATTAAATGATGTATTGGTCAAGAAAAATAGTCCTTCTAATGACAACTGACAGTTTTCTTTTCCCTGTCTGTTTTTTGATGTTTCTACAATGAATATGTATTGTGTAACTTTTGAGATGCTATTTTAACTTTAAAAGAACAGATGTTGCCTAATTGTGGATATCTACTTAAAAGTATGTCTTTACTAGAGATGCATTGAAAATACAATTTGACCAACTCAGTACTGGACCAGAACCAAACATTATCTTACAGAAGGAGCTTCTTCAATATAAAGAACAAGTTATTTTAATGGAATTACTCTTTCAGTCCTTATACTACAGATACCATATAGAGTCTCACAAATATAAGGAAAAGGCAAGATATTTAAATAACTAAAAATTATATACAGTAAAGTTTATTTTATTCCATGTTAGGGATTCTAATTTACCAAATTATTCTAGAAAAATTAGATTTATGTTATTATTTGATCTAAGCTTAAATATTTTTAAAATGTTTATTTAAACAATATTTGTTGGTTCAAACACTGTCTAGCTAATATCTCTTAATTATATTAATCAAGTTATTTTAGTATAAATGCAAGAACATTTAATAACTGATTTTTTATAAAATTAAGAGCTTTCATAGTTAAGTTTTGTAACATTTTACTTTCTCAAACAATTGAAGACTACATTTATACTACAACTAAATGAATTTAAACATATGATTATATAAACTACATCTAAAATGCTAGTTTACATTTGAAAGAGAGTGTTCGCATGCTAATCATAAATCATGCTTAGTTGAAATGATTAACATAGCTAATATCAGTTGGATATGAAAGTAACTCAAACAGTCATAGGATCACTGGTTGCACCAAGTTCAGAATGCCAGAAATGAACATGGAGTTGATATTTGGATGTTCATCCTTCCAAACAAATGAGTGGATTTAATTTTTAAATGTATTTTTTAGACTTGTGAGTCTGTTTATTTTTCATTTGACATTATGTCATGAATTAATCTCTCATCACTCCACTGGAATCTCTCTTGCAAAGTTATTTTTTACTAAATCTAATGCATAATTTGTGATACTATTGACTGTTTCCTCTTTTGAAACCCATACTTTCTACATTTTCTTCTATTTCTTGGCCTCTTCTCAGATTCCTTTGTAGTTCTCTTCTGTCACAGGTGTTGGTATTCCTCAAGGTTGTCTAGGGCCTCCATATTCTCTCATCCAACCTTGTGGCCTTAACAAAAGTTGTTAGGCTCATGCTCCCTTGCTTTCTCCTACACGTATTGGACATCATGACTTACATATATCATAAACTCAGCAAGTTCTAAGTTTAACTTTAGAGCCACCTTTTTCTGTGAATCCATTTTCACTTAAGTCAGAAACTTGGAAATTACCATAGGCTCCTATATCCAAAGTTGTCAGGTCCCATCAGTTCTACCTTTTGAAGTCTCCATTTCTCTGGACCCCTTTGCTACTGCTATAGTAAACCACTTTGATCTCTCTGATTCAGCTAGCTAAGAGGTATCTCATCTTCCTTACAGTATCTGGTCTTCCTGCCTTCAGCCATATTCCCCACTAATCCATTCTTCATGCTACCAGGAAAAGGCAAATGTAATTATGTGACTCCTCTGCTTAGAGTTCTTCATTTACCTCCTAATAATGTTAGACCTTCCAGGATTGTCCAGGGTCTCCTTCACCTTAGTACCTCCTGAAACATTGTGTTGTCTGGAATCTCTTACCCCATTCCAAATGTTTGTCTTTCTTTCCACTCTCCTACCTCTCCTTTGACTTACTTTTACTCTTCAACACTCAACTTAAGCTTTACTTTATGAGGGAAGCTTTCTCTGTCCTGTGTCCTCTTTACCCTTCAGTGTCCTTGCTATGCTGCCCTTGTACCGAATAACTTACTCTTTCATAACACTGCTGTTTGTACTATTTACTACGATCTCCCTGCTAAACTAAGCTCATTGATAGCAGAGACCAGTGTTCAACCATTATATCCTCTGAGTCCAGCAGAGTCTAGTATGCAGTAATTGTTCACAATTATTAAGTTCATTAACTAATTCATTCCTAGCCATCACTTTTAAATCATTCTCACTTAATGACACATTTAGGTTGAGTCCAGTTTTCAGTATGACAAATAATACAAAGGAGTCCAGAAAGCATTTTTGTGCTTGATGCTTCTTTTCTTGGATTAATGATTTCATGCACCTAAATGTCTTATACTGTTTCATATGTGAATATATGTGTGCATATGTGTATATCTCAGGTTGTGATTATATTTTGTTGGTGTTTATCCTTGTACCTTTACCACTCTTTAGGTTTTTTTCCCTTTAATGTTCAGGTACATATTCTTGCTCCCAAGGTGGGATGGGAAGGGTTGGGAATGAGCTTTATTAGAAGATGTCTCAGTGCCTGACAGTGATGCATCTGAGCTAAGTCACAGGTTAAAATTGTCCTGACATTCCCACAAATCCGTGCTTTCATATAAGTTCAGAGAATGAACATGCACAGTAGTTAACTTTAAAAAAGTATTTGTAAAAAAAAATTCAAATGGATTTTCATAATTTAGCCACATGAGGGCAGTAGAAATACAAATGCAAGTTTTCATAGAGTCTTCAAGTAAGCATTCTTTCATAGTACCAAAAATTACCTGCTAGCCAAAAGAGTTTGGAAGTCTTCCCTCAACAAATTTATATGAGTTTTTCTTTGTTTTTTAGGTAAGTGGTATTAAAATTAAGGAAAATCTTAAACAAGCTAAGCATGAAACACTATTTTAACAATTATATACTTGGTACCTGTTTTTTTTTTTTATATTGCTTTGAAAAAAAATGTGAGGGGGAAAAAGATTTTTCATGCATGTCTAAATGTTTTGTTTTAAAGGGCTCTCTAAATACGTACAGATTCTGCGATAATGTGTGGACTTTTGTATTGAATGATGTTGAATTCAGAGAGGTGACAGAACTTATCAAAGTGGACAAAGTGAAAATTGTAGCCTGTGATGGTAAAAGTAAGTGTTCACCTAATTACTGTGAAAGCAAAACTACTCAAAGTCTTGTTTTTATGGGTCTTTAGACAATCTGTCTGAAAAGTCTAAGGGAAGAAATGGCCAAGTAATCAACTCCAATTTGGGGACCTAGCTTCTGTCTCAGAATTCTAGATCTGTCCTCTAACTCTAGGATATATACCTCAGACAACACACAGACTGCTCACATGGATTGAATTTATATGGGAAAGAAAATAACCACATTGATCAGTTTTCCTTCCCTCTTTCAGCTGTTATATTTTGTTTGTCAGGCTTTTCACAACTACCTTTCTCTTTAAAGAAGTGCTCTTTAATTTGACTATTCCCCTTAAGTTTCTATGTTGCTGGTTACTTGTTTTATATTTTAAAAGTTAATTATTTTAAAGCAGGTTTAAATTAACCATAAAAATCTTGCAGTCATAGTGCTAAATAGCCATTCCTCCAATCTGTTACATTTGTGCAGGTGAATGTTCCACAGCAGACCTAAGTGCTTGTTCAGATCTTTAAATGTTTTGGAAACTGCACATCTTTGCTCTCTGCTCCATAATTACTTATTTCCTTTTTGCTAATAATATTTTAAATATGTACTTTATAATCTGAACTGTTTCTGTTTAAAACAGCTATTCCTGAAATTAAATAGTAAAAACTGCTACTCTCTAAAAAGGGGAGTTTTGAGAAGCAAGAAAATGAGAAGTGTAGAAATCAATATCCCCATTTCTTGTATTATGGGTTAGGTTTCTTTTATATACTTCGAGTTTTAAAAGAAATCACTAATCACTGAGGCAATGCAGAGAATACAAAAAGCACATGGAAGAGAAAGCATCTATAACATCACCTGGAGATAACTGACCACTTTTAATACTTTTAATAAAAGACTTTCTAGTCCCAAGAATATTTTTATAGTAATATACATATGGACACGTTTGCAGATATATCTGTTTTCACACATGGGATTGACTAATGGCTACATAAAATTACACTGTCAGTCCTTTCTTAAATTATCTCTTTCAGCTGTCAGAAAGTCTTTGAAACTAGCAACATTACATTGACTTGTATAGTTCTTAAGTTAGCTAGGAATACTCATTTTACGAACTATAGGCCTGGTTGACTTCTTAATAGAGCCATCAGATATTTAAGGGCTTTTTTTGTTGCTAGGAACAAAATTATGACATATTTTCAGTTCCTATAAAGGTTATCACAAGATAACAATTCCAATTTGAGATAATTTATTATTTTTCTTGTAATTTAAGCTAATAGGATCTTCATAACCCTTTGGAGCATTAATAATTCCTACTCCTCTTTCAAATGTTGTATACCACACTGTTTAGCAGAATTTTTCTATAATGATGATGTTCTATGTCTACTTTTTCCAATAGTCATACATGGCTGTTGAGCACTTGAAATATGACTGCAGCAACTGAAGAACTGGATGTTTTAATTTTTTTAGATTTCATTAGCTAACCTGAATTAACTTAAATATAAACAGCCACATTGGCTAGCCAGTGACTATCCTATGGGATAGCATAGTTATAGACTAGAAAAGTATCAGTTTTAGTTATTCAAACCATACCTAAAAAGCACAACAGTAAATGGCTCTGAGAAAATTTAGTGAGAGCAAAGAACGCATGTCAGATAGGCATTTTAGTTACAGAAACTTCTTTCTGGTGGCCCTGAGAGAGTACTACTTTGGCTTAAAGATACAAGACTCTTTTTTCAAACTTCAGTAATGAGAAGTAGCAAATCACTCTTACCTATTTCAGTGACTCCTGGAGAGCTTCCCTCAGTTATAGCAAAGTGCAATAATTGGTCTTCAGCAAAACACTGAGTATTTAAAAAAAAAAAAAAAAACTTAGATTGGCTGGGTGTGATGGAGCGTGCCTTTTACCACAGCTACTTGGGTGATGGAGATTAGGAGGATAGTGGTTCCAAAACAACAAGCCTGGGCATAAAGTTAGCAAGACCCCATCTCACCGACAAGCCAGATGTGGTGGTACATGCCTGTGGTCCCAGCTACTAGGAGGCGTAGGTATATTGTGGTCTGAGGCCAGCCCACAGCGAAAACATAAGACCCTGTCCAGAAAAAAAGCAAAAAAAAAAGGCTGGAGGCATGACTCAAATGGTAGATCACCTGCCTAGCAACCATGAGACCCTGAATTCAAGGCCTAGTACCATGAAAAGAAAGAAACAAATACCTAATTGAATTCCATTTGCTCTATCTTGGAAATTTTTTTCCCAGAATTAAAATGCAGTTTGGTATCACAGGTAGAGGTAAATTTAAATAATTAGGAAAATTACATTCCTAGGTCATGCTAGATAAATGAGATGCTACTATAAAAATAATTCCTTTTTTTTTAAAGTTAACTTTCTTAAAATTAAGTTGTGTTCCTAATACAGAAGCAGAGAAAAAGTGACAGTAGCTAGCATTTGATCTGTTTACCAGGAAGACAGTAGAGGTCCTAAAGTAAATTGAGTTTGTATAACAGTTGTGCAAACCAAGTGTGGAGTAACTCGCCTTTTCTCTCTAACATAAGCATGGGGGATTAAGTATCCTCTTTTTATTTCTGCCGTAAAGGGAAGTTTGTTGATGTTCTCCGGCGTTTGCACTGCCTGCATCTCCACAGGCCCAACCACCATTATTAGCTCTTCTTTTTTTTTAATAGATACTCTTAAAATATTTAAATTTAAAAGTAACTTGTTCCTTGATTTTACTCTTTCTCTTCTGTTTTCTAGATACTGGCTCCAATACTACAGAATGAGCAGGAAAAACGGCTTTTTTATGCCATCTTCTGTTTGTTATTCATTGCTTTTTGAAGAGAAGCATAGAAGAGACTTTTTTTTTTAATTTATTCTAGTATTGCAAAATGACTACACTGTGCTATACTATCAGAGAAAGCAAGCAAAAAGAAGCTTATAACTGTATTCTCTTATATTACCTTTATTATACAGCATGAAGAAACATAACTTTTTTTAAATGACAAATTAAAAGTGGTTGCCTTCCTAAGAACATTCTTTAATAAACTCATTTTAAAATTCAATGTAAATAATAACTGGTGGAGCTATTAAGCAGGTGGTATGAAGATGTTAGATAAATAAGCATTGTGAAAGAACGCCATATCCCTTGCAAAGGAACTTAGAAGGTGCTTTCATTTCAATAAAATTGTGTTAGTTTTGTCAGTTGTAACTTTATCTGATGAAAACCTAAAAGCTGGGTGGAATTTAACTAAGAAAATCCCCTTTTTTCAAAGTATAAAACCAAGTAGTCAGTGATGTAAGCAACCTAAGTGTAACTTGATTGGGAAAAGTTACACAATCTTTAGACAGCCTCAGTAGTAAAGCCAAAAACACCCTATTCTAGGCAACATAAAACGACTAGACTTCAGTAAAGTGTCCTGCTAAATGCATCACATGGGTTTCCATATTTTTGCATACTGAAGGAATAAAAGTTTGTTAAACTAGGAAAGTATAATAGAGACTATAGTATTTGTAAACGGTCAAAGAGAATATCAGAGACAAGGTAATTGAGTGATTGGAATTTAGCTGACCATAGATTAATCAGTACCAACTGTGTTTAATACCCATCCCTCTTTCACTAGCACTTAGAGTAAGTATCTGACATCCCTATCTTGCGGTCAACCCCATTTCACCCAAAGTTCAGTGTTTAAGCTAGGACACAGGGTGGAAAGGTCATCTTTTCTCTCTACTGAGAGGAGAGAAGTTAACAAATACTAAGTAAAGTAGCTTTTCATACACTTACTAAAAGATAAGTAGCTCTTTATGCTGGACAGTCTCCTTTTTTCCAGATGTGGGAAGAAGCATGCTGTATAATGTCATTTTTTTAGGCACACAAAGCTATAGTCTGATGTATATAGCAGCATAGAAATGGAACTTTGTAGAATAACAGCAAGCCTTATTAACTTTATTCATTACATGAAAGACCAAGTGGCTTACCAGTGTTCTCCTTCCCTTACTTTGGGAAGAAGTTTGTTGCATTTTTACAGATACAGAACTGGAAACATAACCACTCTTAAATTACTAAAGACTACATAATTAGGACTTTTCTTTATTGTCAAAATTACAGCCTTTTTACTTTGAGGTTCAGAATAGTGGTCAAAAGGTAAGTTATGGTTGATCTTTAGCCATCAGAGAAATACAAACCAAAACTACATTGAGATTCCATCACACCTCAGTCAGAATGGCCACCATCAAGAAAACACCTTTATAGACTGTTGGTAGAAATGTAAATTAGGCCAGTCACTGGAAATCCGTATGTAAGTTCCTCAAAAAATTTAAAATAGAATTACCACATGATCCAGCTGTACCAATCCTGGGTATATACCTTGAAGGAATCAAAATCGGCTTACTCTAAAGATAGCTGCACACTCATGTTTATCACAGCACTATTCACAGTACCGAAGTTACAGAATCAGCCTAAGTGACCATCAATGGATGATGGGTAATGAAAGTATACATACACACAATGGAGTTTCTTATTCCGCCATAAAGAACAAAGTGTCATTTGCAGGAAAATGGGTGAAACTGTAGATCATATTAAGTGAAGGAAGCCTGTCTCAGGTATTGCATGTTTTCTGTTGTGGAATTTTGGGGTGAGGGTGGATATGAAAGTAAAAGGAAGACTATTAGTGATTTGGAAGTGGGGAGTGAAAGGGTAATAGAGGAGGTGAATATGATCAAAATACATTACATACATCTATGAAATGTCATCATGAAACCCATTACTTGTACAATTAGTATATACTAATGAGAAAAGTGTGTTGATAGTAAACTTACAGTGGTTTAGAAATTAGAACTGATTCTTAAGGAATAACTCATGGCTTAAGTTTCTTTTTCCTGTTACTAAGGTCACAAGTCTTACAGGAATTATACGCCTGTTTGGGAACTTAACAGCCTATAAATGATGTCAGTTGATTGTTCTTGGAAAAGATACAGAAGGCAGCACATTGACCTTGGGTGAGAAATTTCTTAGATGATTAACTGGATTGACCTACTAATTGAGTAATAATTTATTCCATTCTCTGAATGGTACTACTAGCTGTTACCTTAACATACCAGCGCAGTCCTTGGCCCTCACCTTAAAACTTTTGCATACTTGGAACCAGTCTGTGTTGCTCCTCTCATGCTCTTTCTAGCCATCACTTGGTCTGCTCCAGTTAAACTTAACAAGTCAGACCTAAGATTGAAATGTTTGGTTACGCTTTTTCCTCTATTTTTCACACCTTTCCTATCAATCAAAATCCTACCCTTCCTTCAGAACTCAAACCCCCTTCCATCTCAGAGTGAAACCATATTTCTCTTACAAAGGAGTCATTTAAATACATGGAAAAACACAAGGACAGAAAGAATATAAAACATTTTATTAAAAAGAAATATAAATATGTTTCTCTCAGAGGATAGGAGGACCATTCAGATACATACTGAATTTTTATTTTATAGCCAGCTTTTGAGTACCATTATGCAAGGAAGACTTTTTTACAAATGTTTATTAAAGTTCATAGGCCAGACACACAGACTAGAAGAGCACAAGAGTAGAACTACATGGAATAGTTCAACTCCTGCTTTTCCTTTACATGCAGGTGTATACTGTAAAGTGTTCTCTACTTAGGGCTTTGCTCAGAAGCCTAGTGAGTGTCCTGTGATAGGACAGGTTTTTATTTCAGGCTAAGTAAATTTGGATCAGTTCTGTGGTTCAGACACTAGAATACTCATACAGGTTATTGGTGCCACTAGAATGTCCAAAGTAATGTTACATTTCATCAGTCAAAATTAATTAAAAATCAGTCAAAAACTTGGATTAACCACAGTACATCTCTGTTTTTGCCTTGGTCCAGGATGCAGAACTCAAAACCTGGCAGTTATTATTTGCAGCCATGTTACATTGTGTGGCATACTTGCACATCAGTGTGTCTTTAATCTTCCCATAGTGTTACTCAGACTACTGGAATTACAAAAAAGGGTCACAGCAAGAGCTTAAGCGCCTTTGTGCTCTCTCACTAAGCCTTAAGCTCCAGTGATTTAAATTTAGTTTGCCTATTAATGTTTAAGAGGAAAACAACTAATTTGTCAGGGCAAAGAATGAAAGCAAGCTTTGATTTTTGTGATAATGTAGTTAGTCCTGTCAAGATGGCTAAGGTGCTATTTTAACACCCAAGTAACGGACAAAGAATATCCCCTTCATCTTTGTAGATGTCAACCATAGCATTGCCCTTCAGTTTTGAGTGGGTCATTAAGTTACTGCAAATATTCAAATTCTGAAATTTTAATATATGTACTTCTGTATGAAGTTATATGTACATTAGTGTATATGTGTGGACTTACATACCTACATGTGTGAATCAATTGGGAAAAAAATTGTAGCACAGTTTTGGGGGGCAGGGGTGCGGTTGGCACACTGGAGTTTGAACTCAGGGTCTCACACTTGCTAGGCAGTACTTACTGCTCAAGCCACTCCGCCAACCCTGTAACAGTTGCAAACTTTGGAATTCATGAATCGACATACATGGTAAAGGGAAGTGGAAAATGTATTTGATCATGTGGAATGGAAGCAAATGACAGAGGCCTTGAAAGCTGGACAGAGAAATTCTTATGGGGACTTTAATGTACTTTGAGAATGAGAAACAAAGCTGAAATATGCAAGAAAGAAAAACAGTATTCAGACAAGTTAAAATTAGTCTGGCTTAAGGGAATAATTATGTGAATGAGAGAGCCACAGATCAGGGAAATTTCCCTGAAGAATCAATGGAGCCTGGAGTTCTAGTTGTTAACAAACATAACAATCATTTCTTAGGGTCTTCTGGCCAAGATGCCAACTCATGGTCACAAAATGAGGTTCACAGATCAGAAACATTCAAGGCTGGATGGAAGTCCTTAGTCAGTGCACAAGAAAATCAATACCCAGATAAGACTCTGCTTTTCTAAAACTGAAAATTTCAGTTGGAAAGCTGAGATAAAGCCTCAAAAGCTAAAAATAAAAACATGGAAAACAGAGGCTATCCTTTATGGCATTGCTAATTATTTAAGCATGTTCAATTAAGTCTCTGCTACTGCTCACCTAGGAACACACTATATGGAGCCAAGTGAAAAGTGAACACACTATATGGGCTAAAGCCAAGGATTAACATCAGCACTTACTACTATGACATGTCTGTTAGGAAAAAATGCCACTCACAAAGAAAGCTCATGAGAAAATCTCACATCTAAGACCGAGGTTTAATGAGAGGCACGAGCCGCCATGCTGACCAGGGAAAGATGGCACAGCACAGACTCTGGGCTAGGCGTGGCTTTTAAAGAAGAGCGAGGTTAAGGAAGTTAGTGCATCCACGCGAGTCTCTGGTAGGGGTGGAGCTTGTCTTAGAGCATGGGAATTTCTGTTTAAGGGCGGGGCTGTTGGGAATTTCTCCATTTCTCAAGTGAGGCCTGAGGGTAAAATGGCTGCCAATTTACAAAATGGCAGCATTATTGTGCTATCATTCCCCCATTTTTTCTTTAATAATGATGAGGGTAGGAGCTGAGGATCAGGAATTGGGGCGAAGCATCAGTCTCTTTAGCTGCTTCCTGCTGGCAGGGGGCATCGTATGGGGCAGGATCCTCAGGCTCCTGTGGCGTCCTGGTGGGGGCCCTCACAGTAGTTCTCCAGGCAGTTTTGGAGAGGTTGATATCCCTGGAGGTACAACTGGTTGAACTTTTGATTAGCAATAGCAGACATGTGGTCTAAAAGGAATCTTTGTACTGTTTTTATAATACTAGGGAGGAAGCTTAAGAATATGCGAGCAAGAAATATAGGCATTAGGATGGACATTAGCCAAGAGAACCACTGTGAAATGTTCCCTAGAGGATTCCAAGAGTGCTCCAACTCCCTTCTCCATTTCTGTAATTGCTCCTGGAGTTGTCTAATTTTATTTTTTACTACCCCCGACTGGTTAACATAGAAGCAGCATTCTTCTTTTAAAAACAGGCAGAGACCACCCTTCTCTGCCGTGAGCAGGTCAAGGCCTCATCGATTTTGGAGTACATCTGAG